TGCATTTGTTGTATTGATATCTAATGGTTCTCGTGACGAACATATAATTAAACTATCTGATTCAGTACTTTTAATCTAAAAATAATATATATTAATATATTAATATATATAATAATATATATTAATTATATTATTATATATAATATATAATTATAATTATTATAATTAATAATTAAAAATATTTACCTTTATTTTTGTCATATTACTGTTATCACTGTTATAAAAATAATTAGGATGTAATTTATAAAAATTAATACCATTTGGTTTAACATAATCATCATATGAATTTGAAAATCCAGATGAGATATAATCTGATCCACACTGTGTATTAATCAAGCGTTTGGGAACTATAACATATTTTATAAGTAATAAAGATATTAAAAAAAATTATAAAATTAAAATTTTCCTATTAAAATTTTTTAAATTTTATATTATTTAAAGTTTTCCTATTTTACCTTGATTTATTCTTGGAATAACCATGTTAACTATTGGTTTTAAAGTTTCTTCTGTATCTCCGATGCCAATAGAAAATAAATCTGTTGTATGATTGTGAGTTAAATCGAACCATGGATCTTTGGATCCATACGCCATAATAAAAATCATTGTATCTGAAAATGTTAATAATAAATTATTAAAAATATTAAAAATAAATTTATCTAGCTTAAAAATTCATTACATATCTAATATATTTATGTACAATTATGTACAATTTTTACCTGGAATTTGTTCTCGCATTCGCGATATAATTTGCGAACAATATTCTTTATCAGTTTTAGATATATCAGAAGTACGTGGAATAATTAAAACAATATCAGAACGTGCACCACCAACTCCACGAGTACGTTCGGTATTAAGTTTATTCATCAGATACATTTCTAATTTCATGAGTGATTTAGGCAGATCAAAACCATGAGTAACTAAAAAAAAATTACATATACAAAATAATATATTATAAAAAAGTATATTATAATTAATTCTTAATTTCAGATTAGTACATACTATTTTTATAATGCGATGAATTATAAGCGTGAAAATCCAAAATGTTATAAGTGCTATTAATCATTGGTATTCCATTGTGACCATTTATTAATGTAAAGTTGGAATTAAATTGATTTATGTCTACATTTTCTAATAAATATGCAAGAATAACTTTTATTGCAGAAAATTCCCAATTTGTATCCAAAATGATTGTCAAATCAATAGATATCTGATTAAATTTATATAATTTATCTGTTTCAACGCATGAAAGATCCCTATTCATTTGTAAAGCTATAAAAGTATTAAAATAAATAAATTTTTGAACGAAATAAATTTATTTAATTCAATAAATAATTCTAAATCATTTATATGAAATTCTATTAATACTTACGCACATATTTTTCTAATTCATTTACCGCATTTTCTGAAAACTTTTTTATTATTACATTTTCGAGCGTTGCTTTTGCTAAATCAGGTTCTAATAATAAAGCAGCACTATATGTCTGAAAAAATTAATAACAATAAAAAAAATTATTTCATTAAACAATTTTTAAATTTTTTCATAATATCTATTAAGTTTCACTATTGATATGTTTTTGAAAAAAAAAAATATCCCATTTTAATATGAAAATGTTAAAATAATTTACCTCTGCAATCAATTTTTCATGTGATGCAACAGATGTAAATAGTTTTCTTCGATTACATGCTCTAATGGAAGAGTCAAAGACTCCTAGTGAACTATAATACATATCAAAAATTTGTGAAAGTTTTAAATTAGGTATTGTATTGTACCATTTATAAGTTTCATTGGCTAAAATTAAGCCATCTAAATCTCCTCTAATTTCTGCTGTTGTCATCTCATATTTATTATTAGAATTTAAAAAATACCATCGTGGCAAAGCAGTAGAATTCCAATTACCAGTTGCTCCAACACTAATTGTTTTGTCATTTAGAGGACCTTGTCTTAAAGCTACTTCTGCTAAATCTCCTACAATTTTAATAATAAATATCGTATAATTATTTTAAAAAATAATTTATCAATGATTTATATTTTAAAAAATTAATGTTACCAGCAAAAGTAGCAAACCATTTATTTTCTATAGTCAATTGTTTTAAAAGTGAATTGTTTTTTTGCAAAATATCTGATTCCAAATCATAAAGATTTACTAATCCTGGTTCTGTAGCTGCAGCTATTCCAGCAAGCACTAATCCAAAAGAAGTTGCACCCCATCTAAGAAGATTATTAGAATTATTTTAATTTAAACAATAAAATTAACTTATTTTCTTCAATTATTTTCTTTTTCATTATTTAATTTTATAATTCTTCAAGGAATCATAGACTTACGGAGTTTTTACAACGCCATTTTCCACAGGACATTTACTAAGAACTAATGCTGATAATCGAGCACTATCTGGATGATTAGGTGGTGGATCTTGATAAACTGAGTTTGGATCAACCATAGTGTGTTCATCTTTATTTTTATGCTTCATATTTTTTCTGTATAAAAATTATATCTTATTCCTGATAATATACCATATCGATTACATTATATAATTTTTTTTACTTACATTTCATCAAATGATAAAGTTTCTACATCATTAACAATATTTTCAGTTTTCATCTTATGCTTGTCTTTAACATTTCTTGGATATCTATAAGTATCTGCAAATCTACAAACTTTTGTTTCGTCTCCTCGTTCATAGATTTCAACGCTACTTGATAACATAAAATGTAGTGTACACTATAATATAAATAGTATTATTAGTTAAGTATTTTATTATTTAGTTATACTTATAGAAATATATATATGTAAATATGAAAAATATACTAAATCGTATACATACTCTTTCAACATCTGTAATACTATTATTAGGAAAGTTGAAAGCATTTCCAGGTATAAGACGTAGAGATTGAGCAAAACGAAAAAATTGATGGGCATTCGGTGCATAGGGTGATATTCCATCTTGAGTAGGAATCGAAGGATTTGGAGCAATACCGTCTTGTCGAAAACTGTAAATGAAATATTAATGAAATTTTTTTTTTAATATTATAATCTGTTTAAAATATGAAAATTACCGATGTAGAATTGCTATTGACAGAGTTCTTAGATCCATATTAAGACCCTCCGTATTTTCAATTTTACGAAGTATTGCAATGAATGTATTTAAAGTATGTGGCAATCTATTATCTCTTTCCAAAAGATATTTATTTTCATAACACTCTCGAAGAGACGATGGAAGATTTCTAAGTGCATTTTCTTGTGCGTATACAGCTAGGAACAAACAATAATGAAAATTTAAAACATTAGATTAATTTAAATTTTATAATATAATTCAGCCACAAAAAATACTTACTTAATGTAATAAAAATAAAAATATACAAAAACTTTGCCATTTTACTGCAACTGAAAATGATATAATATGTAAAATTAATAAATTTTTCATAATAATTTTAATAATTTGATATCATAAAAAAAATTAATAGCAACTAACATGAAATAATATAAAATATATTACATCAAACTGTTATATATATTTAATTAAAAAAAATAATTATATTATGTTTAAAAAAATACATACCACAAATAATTTTTTACTTTTTTTTAATGCAGTATATATGATATCCCTTCAAATTCATTCAGTAAAGTATAACACCACACCTATCTTGATAGAATAAAACCTATCATACAGATAAGATAATATGATATGTTATGAGTAATAACTTCTTATTTTATTACAGGTATCTTTTTAAAAATAAGTATATATATTCAAATTCCAAAAATATATTAAAAAAATCAAACAATTAATTAAACATACATTAAATACATCTATTTTTATATGCTCTTTTTTTAAATTAAATACATTTTATTATACAAGTCAATAAATCTGTATTAGAAAAATCTAATAATTCTTTTCTAAATTAAATTAATATTTATAAGATAGTATAAAATAGTATGTGTAGTTGTTAATTAAAATTGATAATTAAAAAATGTATAAACTTTGCAATTTTATTTTAAAAACTATATATTTCTATTGATATTATCTTATCAAGTTTTAAATAGTGTACAATCTTTTTTTTATTTGTATATGACAATGAATCATAAAGATTTAAGTAGATATGGATAACAAGGTGTAAATGTTAGATTTTCAATAATATAGAATAAATCTCTAACATAATTATGATATTTAATAAAATTGTATTATTAATTATTTATTGCGGTAAGTTACTACAAATTATAAATATAAATATAAATATAAATAATAAATATAAATTATAATATATTTTAACAGATAAATAAAATAATAAATAAAATATATAATAATATATAAATAAAATAAAATAAAATTAATAAAATATAAATAATAAAAAGATAAATTAAGTTGTAAACTATAATATTATTTTAAGCATTTTGTTTGTAACAGAATTACAATTAATATGGACACAAACAACTATACCCAAGTCACTTAGAGAATGTTATAAAAATAATGTCACATTGAATCCTCCCATTCCATTAAATTTACGTATATTAGTTGATATCATACAGAAAATGGAAAAATATTCTTATTCAACAATAGATATAAGAACAATGTCTTCATCAATATTACACAGGTTAATATATATAGTTATTGATATATCTAGTATTTTGACTGAAAGATGATAAACATAATTAAACATAAATTATAGATTTAGATTTGATGGTATTGAATATCACAAAAATATTCAAACTACAGAAAATATATTACCATTCAGTGGAACTGGAATACAACGTATTAAACACAAATTGATAGAAGAATTAATTCCAGGCAAAGCAGAAATTTTACCAGTTCATATACTTTCACAGGAAGAACGTTGTATACTTCACCAGGCTATTTCAAGCTCAATTTTGTTATTTGATAATGAAAATAAATATAAATTATATGAACAAATTCCTCAAACTGAAAAATTAAGAGGTAATTATAAAAAAAAGACAGATATTTATAGCAATTAAAGTAAAAAATTATTATATAGGTAGAATGCTTACTGATACATGGAATTATCCAAGACAACAAGGAGTGATTCTGACACCATGTGGTACTATTGCCCCTGGAATAATTATAGGAGCAATTGCTGCATCTCTTCAACATCAAAACATTGCTGTAAATCAATTGGTTACAAATTTGGAGACATCAGGTACAACACATTATTATGACTCTCCCAATAAAATATTATTTAATAATGCTTTTCATCTATTAAAAATGAATTCTACAAATATATATAATTTAAAATATGAAGAAGAAGTTGAATTTATTCTTCCAAGAAGTCAAATAATTCATAAACCATCTATGTGGTATAATGTTTTAAAATCATCATCTATGAAAATTGATAATATATGGTTAACAACAATTGCAGGCAAGATATATTATTATACTAATAATTACAAATTTGTTAGATTTGATATCAAATAATATAATATACAAAGAATTTTTATCTAGGCGAATTAGCAGAAATGGTTGTGTATCAAGGACCTTTAGGAAATAATATGACTTTTGGCGCAACAGGATTCTGGCAAAATATCATGCGTCCAACTATTTATTATCTCACAAATTCATATAAAAATTTTGATGTAACTCGAGCTGAATTAATAGGAGGCATTGATGGTAAATTAATAATATTTTATTTTATTTTCTGAATAAAACACTTTACAATTTGTTTCAGGAATGATAATTTCAAGTTATTTACAAAGTTGGATTCAAGACTTTTACAGTCTTCGACTTAGTCAAATTTTAGAAATGTATTATTCATATGAAGGTGTTGTATTCAATACAAACGTAAAAGCTTGCGATCGAATACAAACCTTCCAATATGCAGTACCAAAGACTATTTTAAATGAACAGGTTTGTCACAATTATTAATGAAATTAGAGAAAAAATATAATACTTTAATGTACAAATATTATTTGTAATAGACTTATGCCATAGCTCAGACATTAGCTTATCGTAAAAGCATCGCGTATATTTCTCCTGAAACATTACAACAAATGGTTGACTTTGCAACTGAAAAATTTTATACTTATGCAGAAAATCATTTATTTCCTGAATTATCTTGTCGTCAAATAAATCAACCACAAATAGAAGCAATAATCATATTTGATGGTGCATGGACAATACAATATACGATAGATTTTCTTGCGTAAGTATATTAATATAATTTTATACTTTATATTTTTATTTCCAAAGTTCTTTGTGTTTAGAATTTTAATACAAGATTTAGATATATCAATGTATGGATCAAAAATGGGAATAATACACAGTACTTCAGGAGAATGGTTATTAAATATAACAAATAGTCCATCAATTGCATTTCAAACATTAAATAATTTTACAAATGCTATGTGTAAGTTTTAACATTTTAAAAATATTTATATATAATTTTAACTGATCATAATCATATATGATATGATTCTAGGGTCTACACAATTTAATTATATGCAAGTTTTAAAAACAGTGTTTTCCTATCTAAATAATACTTGGGAATACAATCATAAGCATCATATAATTGGAAATCTTGGACAAGTAGTTATATTATTGGTTCCATTAGCACATATATCTAATAACGAAAAAGAATCTATAATGACATTATTGCATCAATTAAAATACAATCATCCAGGTAAGTATATGAATTTTATATAATTAAATTTAAAAAAATGTTAAAAATAATAAATTTTGATAATTTTTTCTTTATAACATAATTTACAGATGTTCATTTTATATATTATGTATCAAGATATAATGAAAATTTATTTGAATCATTTATTTTATCAAATGAAGATTATATGATAAAAAATTCCAATATTGATGCCATTATTCAATATGTGTTAAAAAGTATGTTTTATTATTAAACTACTTAATATAATATTATAAATATAATACTTAATATAATATTATAAATATATATTCACATATTTATATAAAATATATAAATTTTTAGTTCCACGAGCACTAAGACCTGCAACAACTTTAAGCTTAAATAGTTCAAAAATTCCTCAAATAGAAGATTATATAAGTCCTTCGAAATCAGTTACTTATAGAATACATTCACATTGGAAACAAAATATGAAAAAAATATTAATTAAAGTTTGTATAAAAATATGCTATTCAATGACTTTTATAATTTTTATTTATTTTTACTCTAATAATTTTATAATTTTGTAGATTCATACTTTTGATTATGGTACAATGAAAGTCTGTATGTGGATAGCATTTGAATCCAAAAATAAAAAAAATTTGCAATGTATAGAATTAGCTGGTTATAAAGAAATTACATTAACTGATCACTTTAAATGTATCAGTAATTCAGCATGTCCTAATTTGTATCTTCATATCCAAAATGTAACTTCTTTATATAAATGTGCAGGTAAATATTAATTATATAAAAAAATATATCAAATATGATGAATATATATATATACAAATAACAAAATTTCAGAAATAGATTGTAAAACACCAGATCAAGTAAGGTTCATCATAAGAATAAATCAACAAAATGTTGATTATAATAATTCTGCAGATCAGAATGTAATATCGATCTTATTATATATTTTTATCTTATTTATATTTCGAATACTTATGTGAACTTTATTATATAAAATAAAAAATTAATTTTTCATTTCTTTTACTAATTATTTATGAAATTTTTTATTATTTAATATCATAATTTACTAAAGAAAATATAATTTCCATATATTATATATAAACTTACTTTATTATTATTTTAAAAAATACAAATTTGTACTTACAATTATTCAAATAGATTAATAATTGCTATATGCATATTCATATACGAATTTTATCAAAAACTGAAAATTACTTGATGCAGCAAGATTTCCTAATTCAGGTTCTACCAAAAGCATATCAACTGGAGGGAGAAATTCATTTACTTCACCTCCTATATTAAAAATAAAACAGAAAAAATAATAATAATTTTTTTTAAAAAAATAAAAATTATTTTCTTAAATGATTAATAATTTACCCATAAAGTGTGCGAGATCCATTAGCTTAAAAAATATAGTTTCTTGTACTTGTTGTTCAGGATTTTTTCCTATAGTATCCCATTGATCTCGTTTAGCGGCTCGTGCCCAAATTTGTAATTTTAAAGACACTTTTTCATCTTCTTGTTCCATATATTTCAGCAAATCAAGAGCTTTTTTAAAATCATATTCATTTGCCTCAATATTATCATCAGATGTATATAACTATATCAATTATATATTTGATATATGTTAAATATAATATAAAATAAATATATTTTTTAATTAAAAAAAATACCGTAATTAATTCTGTTGGTGTAAATACTCGTAATTTTTCTACATCGTAACCGTACGTCGTAAGTAATTGAGTTGGTAAGTCTTCCTGATGAGCTATCAATGCCAATTCATTATCAATTCTTTTCACACAGTCTCTTATTTCTTCTTCTAAATCATCCGAAGCAAGAAGAGCCAATTTTGCTAAAGAAAGCATGGACTGTAAATAAAATGAATTTATAAATAAAAATATTTAAATAACTTAAAAAATAAAATAAAATGTATTTGTACCTTCTTACGTGTCACTAATTCATTTTCTTGAATTGCTAAAGAATGAAGCGTATTAGCAGCAAAACGTAAATCATCCGTAAGAGCAGATTGTACCCATGATAAAGTTGGATGTTCAGCCAATTTTTCTGATAATTCAATTGTACCATCGCGTCTACATTTTTCTACTAATTGACCCTGTCGACCATCTTTTACATACCTGTATTCAAAGATTAAGAATAAAAATAAGAATATTTCACTTCTAAATCATTAACAAATTTCTAAACAAATTTACCATGAAAATAAAAATCCCACAAAATCTTGAGCTGCAAATTTTTTTATATATCCATCCAATCGATTTTTATTATTAGTTAATTCACATATTTGTATGAGAGATGCAAAATCACAATATTTTTCAGCTAACATTGCAGCATTATCGTACTGTTCTTCTTTTACTATAAATTATTTGTTATAAATATTTTTTTTTTCAAATATTTGTTTAATTTAAATAAGAATACATACTCAATGGTTGAATTAGATTCATTCGATCTGTTTCATATTGTTTCAAAAGTATTTCAAACTTTTCTGTACCCTTAACACTTTCCAAATGACATTTTCGACCATCCAATATTAAATCTATATAACTTACTAACTGTTCGTACAATTCGTTCCTTACAGTTGAATCATTGGTTCCAGTTATGCCATGTTTAAGAGTTAAATTATACTAAAACAATAAATTATATTGACAAAGATTTTTTTTAACAATTTTTACAATAAAAAAATAATTATACATGTTTAAATATTAACCATTGTAGTAAGACAATTTCTTAATCCATGTCTTCCAATTGCTGCTGTCCAAGGAAGATATTCAGTTATACCATATGAACATCTTGTAGGAAGAAATCGTTCAGCATTATGTTGTCGATATTTCATTACTTCGTGTAGTACACCCTATTATTAACGCGTATTTAATAATTTCATATTTTTATTTTGTTGTTAATATCGCATTGGATTTATTGTACTTACTAATAATATAGCATTTACTTGCATAATGTAATGTGCTACCTGTTGAATAGGTCTTTCAGATTGAGTTACTTCTGATGCATTATTCACTAAAGTAGGAAGAAAACGATGCACAGTACTAACTTCGCGATAAAATATATCACGAGCTGTTAATTCATCAGATACATATGATTCAGGACTTAAAGTTTGTTCTATTATTGTATCTATAATATCTGCATATCTTTAAATAATTTATATTAATCTTTAACATAAAGAAAATTCATAAAAATATAACTTGAAGAAACTTACTTATTTTGAAGATTATATATAGTTAACGCTGCAATTATTTTTTCTGCATATTCTTCAAGAACATATGGTGTAGATATAATTATTCCCCTATATGTAACGGCACAAAACTAAATTAAAAAATATAATATAATAGTACCATTGACTTAATTTAGATATTCAATTACAATTTTATAATAAATTAACTTACTCTATTCCATAAATCATGTTCTTTTAAAAATATTATAAATAAATCTATAGCTTTTTGTTTTCCTTCTAATTGATTAGGTATTTGCATTGAAGTAACTGCATTTATTGTCATGGCTGAAAATAATGTGATTATTAAAATTTATATAACATACATATATTATATTTAATATAAATAAAAAATTTAATTACACAAATCTCTATGATTTGACCAACGTGGATCATTTGCTGGATAATCATCTATCAAATCTTTAGCAACTTTTAAAATCAGTGTATCAAGATTAGCATCTATATCCATTATTGGTTCTTCTTGCAAAGGAAAAAGTTGTGTTAAAATTTCTTCACACTGTGCCTATAGCAGAAAGACTTTTAATGATTATATTTCTCATAATTATAATTTTATAAAATAATATAATTTAAAACAAATTTACTCTATTTTGTCGTAAACTAAGAAGAAATGCAGCACGTAATTGTGTAGAGTTATCAGAACTATAAAACATATCTTGAACTTCTTCATTACTAATAAGACTAGTAAAATTTTGTGTCGAATTAGATCGATAATTATAATCTACACTTGTATTAATATTATCTGTGTAACTCCTAAAAAAAATTTATTTTATTCTTAATAAAATTATTTATTTTTAAAAGAATATAAATAAAATGAAAACAAACATATTAAAATCTTGTGATATAAAATCTGATGGCATAATAGAAACTAATCCAAAGTTTTTAGTAAATAAAACTGGAGTTCCTGAACACAATGCACCACCAAGAATACTATCATCCCCACCTCGCACTAAATCTATTTTGTCTTGTTCATTTTCAGATATACCTAAAATATTTTCATTTAAAAATTTGAATAATATTTTATAACTAAAAACAAATAATCTCTAACTTACAATTCACAACAAGTACTTTATATTGATTATATATAATAGCTTCCCAACCACATAATATAAAGCGATAAGAAACTAAAGTTGATTCAGCATCATTATGATATGAAATAGGATCGATTTTAATTGGTATAAACCATTTAAATGTATTTGCTAATGTTGTACCAGATAATTGTATCAAACCTACAATATTTAATTATTGTATAATATATAATACATAATAAAAAGTATAATAATTTTATTTTTATTTTTTCAATCATTACCTAATGCAAATTCAATAAAAGATGATGCATCAGCACAATAAGCTGCCATTAAAAAGACTATTCCTTCATTACATGGTTGCATATCAATCAGCCAAGTTTCCATGTTTTGTGGATTACATGCACTCGATTCCTAATTATTAAAATAAATAAATAAAGCACTTCTTCCTTATATACACAATATTTTACATACCCAAATTTTTCTTTGGAAAGTTTGTGAAATAATATGTCCAATATCTTCATCAAATTCTATTTTCTCTTGTTCATTATAAGGAAAAGACCAATATTGTAAAGATGAACCAGCTAAAATGAGAACTCTTGATCCTCTATCTCCTAAGGTTGTGCAAGTAACTTTTACTAATTTCTATGAAATAAAATTAAATCTTTCATATTCTTGCATTATGTTATTAAAATTATAATAAAAATATTGCACATAAAATTTACTGTTTCTGTAACTGGGGATTGAGGTATAGCACCAAAGATAAGAGAAGTCATTCTTCTTCCTATACCTCCTAGCCATCCTTGACTTGTTCTAAGAACCTGACAAGTAACACTGTTTTTACCACCAATAAATTGTGATTGTAACAATGCTACTGTACATGTGGTTGTAGCTAAAATACAACCATGACCAGGAATGTAAGTAAGACAATCAACTTCTTGTCCAGCAAGTTCTGCACTTGTTTCTACGGAAGATCCTTCATGTGCAACACTAACCCAAAAACGTACAATACCTTCAGGAGAAACAGCCATACAACTAGGTACCTAATTATTTAAAAAATTTTAATTTTAATTTAATTTTAATTAAAGCTCAATTTAAAAATAAATAATGATTTTAGTACCTGATAGCCTGGAGGCAGCCATACAGCTACACATTCTGCTTTATGAGCTAAATCACTTTGAGGTAATAATAATTCACGACACTGACTTTTAAAAGTTCTTTTTTGTTTTGAATCATGAATGGTAGTCTTACATTGCCATACAAGTAATCTTCGACCACATACAAGCCAAGCCCAACCATCTATTGAAATATTAACACTGACTGCAATATTTCTATCTACAAATGTTAAAGCCTCTGTAACAAGTACAGGTAAAGATGATCCAAAGCTCTCGACTACATGGTTTGGTGATTTACATATTATTTGTACAGACTGATTTGATCGCCCAGATACACTTATTGTTCTAGAAATAAAAAATTCATTACAAATAATTTTAATCCAAACTAGAAATATTTGTAAAAGACTTACGAATTATTTTTTCTTAAAGATTGAATAATTGACATACGCTTCCGCGGAGATGTTAAATTTCTTCCCAATGTATTTCCTATATTCGTTCGATCCATCGCAATTTCTTTTTTATTTAAAACTTCATATCAAAAGAATGAAAAATTGGTTTATATATAATATTTTAAATTATATAAAAAAATCTTAGTTTTTTTTTTTACATATATAATGTCATATACATAACATGTTTTATATATAAAACATGGTAAAATGATTACATTATCGTTTTAACACAACAATAAAAACCAAAATTAAATACAGATACTGATAGCTTGATCAAAAAATTCAATTTCAAAATTTTTATCAATATATGATATATTATTAATAGTTTTATAAATGAAATAAATAATAATTTCTTAATACAATAATTTTATATATAAAAATTTCACAACTAATGTTAAATTTATATTTAGAATCAAAAAACAATTGTAAGTCAAATATTTCTAACCTATTTTATAAGATAATATTTAAAAAATTTTTGAAATTGTATTAATATTTCTGATTCTATAATGAATTCAAATGCATGTAATTTAAGTTGAATATTGGCATTTTATTTACACTTATTATTTTTCCTTCTGTCATTCAAATTTTCAAATTATATTTAAAATTATTCAAAACATACGTAGCATTTAAAATCTAAATAACGAATTTTAAATCTATACTTTCACGACTATCTGATATAAAAAAATGAATCCTATAATTATTTTAGGGATTTTAATTTTTTTATTCCATTGGGTATCTGAATATAGATCTAAAATTACTACTTAATTTTTATTTTCATGCCATCTTACGTTTATCGAAAGAAATATAATAAACTTCTATAAGAGAAATCTTTTCTTTATATTTATTGCATCATGCAATAATAGTAAGTAGATGATGTGGAAAACGTGTAGTTAACATCATATTATTTTAAAAATATTGATGTATATTGATATATTCAATTGAATATTTAGAAAGAATATAACAAATTGGCAAAATGATTGATATCAAAGCTGAGGAAATTAAAAAAGAAACAGAAGTTCCGCTGAAAAGTGCAAAGCAGTTACAAAAAGAAGCAAAAAAGCAAGCAAAGTTGGAAAAGTTTAAGCAGAAACAGGAAAAGAAAGAAAGCGATAAAATTTCAAAAATTAAGGAAAAAAATGAGGTAAAATTGTTAAAATCTTTTAATTTTCTTTATTTTTTATTGCTAATTTTTTTTAATATATTCTTATTTTTTTAATTAATTAAGTAATTCATATTTATATTTCCACAAATAAAACTTTCATTTAAACTAGATATTTTTACTCTTAGAAAATAGAAAAAAAAAAAGAATCTAAAGAATTAGCTATATATACAATAAATACACTTGAAGGAGATAAGAAAGATATTACATGTCCAATGCCTGATGCATATAGTCCAAAATATGTTGAAGCTGCATGGTATGCATGGTGGGAAAAACAAGGTTTTTTTAAACCTGAATATAAAGTATGTAATTAAAAGATATTTTGATAAAAAAATTAGTTTAAATATTTATTTTCTTTGTTTGTTATTTTCTTATTTTGTAATTTTTATATTAAATATATATTTAATTATTATTAATTATAGAAAAAAAACATATTAGAGCCAAATCCTAAAGGAAAATTTATTATGGTGATTCCACCACCTAATATAACTGGGTTTCTTCATCTTGGACATGCTTTAACTAATGCTGTAGAAGATGCTATTACAAGATGGTAAAGCAATGCTTGAATATATATTTTAGAACCACATGATTCTTAAAAGTAATATAATTTATATAATTTGTTTAGTTTCTGAATTGCAATTTAACAATTTACATGTAATAATTTATGCAAAAAATGTTTATAATTTTTTAGGAATCGTATGAAAGGACTTACAACATTATGGAATCCAGGTTGTGATCATGCAGGTATTGCTACTCAGGTAGTAGTTGAAAAAAAACTTTGGAAAGAAGAACAAAAGACACGCCATGATATAGGAAGAGAAAATTTTATAGAAAAAGTTTGGAAATGGAAAGAAGAGTAAGTGTAAATATGGATTTGCATAATTTGAATATACACATTTGTGTATAATTTATCAATTTTAGAAAAGGAAACAGAATTTACCTGCAATTAAGGAAATTAGGTGGTTCATTTGATTGGGATCGAGCCTGTTTTACAATGGATCCAAAATTGTGCCGTGCTGTTTCAGAAGCATTTATAAGATTGCATGATGAAAATATAATATATAGAAGTAATAGATTAGTCAATTGGTCCTGCACTTTAAAAAGTGCTATTTCTGATATAGAAGTTAGTAACTTTAAGTAGTAATACCTTAATTATCTATTTTTCAAATTATCTGTTTTATGCAGGTTGATAAACTTGAATTAACTGGTCGAACATTACTTTCAATTCCTGGATATCAAGAAAAAATAGAATTTGGAATTTTAGTATTATTTGCTTATGAAGTGATAGATTTTGAAAAAAAAATAATAGTTGCTACTACTCGCATTGAAACAATGCTTGGAGATACAGCTATTGCTGTTCACCCAAAAGATAGTAGATATATTGATTTCATTGGAAGATATGTACAACATCCATTTTGTGATAGAAAGTTACCAATTATAGCTGATGAATTTGTAGAAATGGAATTTGGAACAGGTATTTTTATAACATTTCCTAGTTAATATTTTTATAACAAATTTTTTAAAACAGTAATATATGGCATAAAATCAATCTAGGTGCTGTAAAAATTACACCAGCTCATGATCCTAATGATTACGAAGTTGGAAAGAGACATAATTTACCATTTATAACTATTTTTGATGACATTGGAAATGTTATTGGAGATTACGGACAATTTACGGTATGCATAGTTTCACATGAAAATTATACGTTTTGTTTTAATAAAAATCGATATTTTTTCAATAAAATTATTCAGGGTATGAAACGATTCCATGTTCGAGCAGCTATAATAAAAGAATTAATTGCAAAAAATTTGTTCATTGAAATTAAAGAGAATCCTATGGTCGTGCCGATATGTAGTCGATCTAAGGATGTTGTCGAACCATTAATAAAACCTCAATGGTAATTTGATATTTACACATATAATAATACTTATTTTTATTATCATTTAATGATAAAATAAATTTTTCTTTTAGGTATGTAAAATGTAGCGAAATGGCCTCAAAAGCAAAGGATGCAGTAAAATCCGGTGAATTAAAAATTATTCCGTCTCGATATAAAAAAATTTGGTATCATTGGATGGAAAATATTACAGATTGGTGTATATCTCGGCAATTATGGTGGGGTCATCGTATTCCTGCTTATTACGTTAAAATAATTAATCCTAAAACTATAAAAGTCAAGGTAATTTTAGAGAATATTAAATTACAATTTTTTTGAATTTTATTATACAAATTCATGTTAGCTAGATGATGATTATTGGGTAAGTGCGCATTCAGAAAATGAAGCTAAAAAAAAGGCTGCAAAACAATTAGGTATATCTGCAGATAATATTATTGTTGAACAAGATCCTGATGTATTAGATACATGGTTCTCTTCGGGTCTGTTTCCATTTTCGATATTTGGATGGCCAGATAAAGTATGCATACGAATAATTTATTTTATATGATTAATTATTTTACATAATTTGATATTAAAATAAAATAATCATATTTTAGACAGAGGAATTTGAAGCATTTTATCCTGGTACATTATTAGAAACTGGACATGATATTTTATTTTTCTGGGTAGCAAGAATGGTCTTTTTAGGTCAAAAGTTAATAGGAAAATTACCATTTAAGTATGTAAATTTTTATTCTTACATTTGATTTTTTAAAATTTAATGTATTTATATATATATAAATGTTTTCATATATTCTATATATCCTATTTAAAATATATATATATATATATAAATATTTTTAAAACAGAGAAGTTTATTTACATGCTATGGTACGAGATGCTCATGGAAGAAAAATGAGTAAATCATTAGGAAATGTTATAGATCCTATGGATGTAATTAATGGAATATCATTAGAAGTATGTATTTTATCTATAATTTTTTAAATTTTAACAAGACATTTATTGTCATTTTATATATCACTTTTATTTAGGATCTTCATAAACAATTGATGAATTCAAATTTGGATCCAAAAGAATTTAAATATGCTATTGAAGGACAAAAACGTGATTTTCCACAAGGGATTCCCGAATGTGGAACTGATGCTTTAAGATTTGCACTTTGCGCTTATACGATGCAAGGTCGCGATATTAATCTTGACATTCTTCGCGTGCAAGGATATCGATTTTTCTGTAATAAAATATGGAATGCGACGAAATTCGCTCTTATGTATTTAGATTCTAATTTTAATGATGATGTTCAATCGGTAAAACCTAATTTTAATATTAATAGCTATAAAGAACTTTTAAAATTTTTATGAAATTTTTTATTATAATATTTGTACTTTTTTCTTCTTTTTTTTTTGCAGACAAATGACATTATAGTAGGTGACAATGATTGGTATCAAAATACTTTAAGAGAAAAATGTGTGCAAGAAGCATTAAATAATTATTTGGCAGATTATCCTTATTTAGATGGATATAATCCTTCACAAATTGATACAAAAGTTTATCAAACCTTTATCACACTTGATAATGATTTTACTAACTATTCTCATTTACATCGTTGGTATAAACATATGGCATCTTATAATGATCAAGAAAAATCTATGTTTCATGCAGAGAAAGGTAAAATATTATCTCAATGTGGTTGTAAAATACATGATCACAATAATAAAAAAAAACAGGTAATTTACATTGATTTACTAATAATTATTAGTGATTTAGATATTAATAAATCAATCTTAAAAATCAATATATAAAATAAAGATAATTTAATTCATTTTTTTATCATTAGTTGCATTGTGAATCAAATATAGACTCTTGGATGCTTTCTCGCGTAAGTTATGCAATAAAGACATGTAACGAAGCAATGACGCAATACGATTTTCCAACCGCCACTACTGCTTGCTATAATCTTTGGCTATATGATTTATGCGATATTTATTTGGTTTGTATATATAATTTACTTGTAAAATAATTCATCATACATTGTGATTATTGATTAATCATATTTTTATTTAGGAGTATTTGAAACCAGTATTTCAAAGTGATGACGTTGAAAGAAAATATGCAGCAAAAAAAACTTTATTTAAAACATTAGATATAGGATTAAGACTATTAAGTCCTTTTATGCCATTTATAACAGAAGAACTTTATCAACGTTTGCCTCATAAAAAACAATTTTATCCTAGTATTTGCGTTAGTCCATATCCAGAAGTTACAGAGGTATTAAAATTTTTTTTTTTTAATTATTTTCTTTCTATAATATAAAAAAATTTAATATGATCATTTTATAGTATTCTTGGAGGAATGAAGAAATAGAAAAAGATGTTGATTTTGTCAATAAAGTAATAAAAAATATTCGATCAACACGTGCAACATATAATTTACCAAATAAAATCAAGACTGAAGCGTTCCTTGTATGTAATTCTAATAGCTTAAAAGAAAAGCTTTTAGAATATCAATTGTTGATAGAAACTTTATCTTATTCTACACTTAATACAATAGAACCACCAACAGGATGTGCTATCATTACTATCACGGATAAAATTCAAGTTCATCTATTGCTAAAAGTAATTATTAACATAATTATTATTAACATAAATTAGGAAAATAATTTTATTATTTTTAATTATAAAATTTGATATGTATTCATAAGGGTTTGATCGATTCAAAGAAGGAAATAGAGAAACTTAGCAAAAAACAGGAGCAATTAATAGATGTTATTCATAAAATTAAGCAAGCAATGGAAATTCCTGATTATAATGTTAAAGTACCGTTGGATGTACAAAATAGTAATACAGAGAAGCTAACAAACAATGAAGGAGAATTGCAACGAATCATTGATGCATTGTCGGTATTACGAGAAATATAATACTGAATTCTTAGATTTTAGAATTTCATTTTCATATTAATTTCTTATTTATTAAATTATACTTTATTTCATGACATTATTATTTATTATTTCTATCCTTTGATGAATATTTCTACAGAAAAATAATTTCTACTATAAGTAGGATTCGTTTAAGTTAAAAATAGAAAGCAAATTTAGATGATCAATTTTAAAAGATCGATTAGTAATTTTTTATAAAATAAAATATATGAGATAGAAAGCACATAATTTTACAAAATAAAAGAAAGAATTGTCTTTTATATTGATTTATTATAAAGCATTGCCAATATACGCAACTATTAATTTTACTATATTTAAAATCTAATAATGATTTAATAATTTCGTATTGAATTTGTTTCGATCGATTATTTCTATTATATATTGATAACAATTAATTCTGAAAAAATGCAAGTTATGCAAGTTGATGAAAATAATTATGTCAAAAAAAATTTAATTCAAGAACAAATTATATATAACTTTATCATATTACTACATGTAGTAATATGATAAGTAATATAGTAATATATTTTCAAATATATACATATATAATATATATAATGTATATGTTTATGTTTTAAGAATTGTAATAATATTAAACATAATAATAATATTTTTTATAATTAATTTTCTTATAACTATATTTTGCATTTTAATTAAATGTATCGATTGAAACAAACTTCATTTCATTTATTATTAAATTTACAATTATAATTAAAGAAATAATAATTTAGAAATTACACAAAATCAAGTTAGAAAATATTACAAATCTTATTCTGTCAATTCTCAATACAAATATATAAGATACTATATTTGTGCTACAAAGCCAAGTCATTCTATTTTATTTTATTAATGTCTACGATAATACAATTCATTTACCATTTTACTGTAAACTTCTATTCATAACTATGTTCCTGTAGGCATTCGATAATACATTTATGTATGAATAACAAAAAAAAACAGTATTAACATTATATACATATATAATTATGATATGTGAATAATAATTGAATTTATTACCTATTCAAATTTTGTCCAATTATTTTGTGATTTAATGGCAGGTGTATTCAGTGTTAAACTGAATGTACTATCAATATTAATACTGCTTTCGGATGTGTTGCATACTGTAGAATTTTTCGACGGTGAATCACCATTACTTATACTAAATTTATTAAAATCCAAACCATACGCTTGCAATAAATCCATATCGCCGGCATTATCGGAAGATTTTTGTTGTTCATCATTATTTTTGTGCAATGGTTGAAAATAAGGATATAACGGATTACTAAGTCCTTCTCCCATCTCAGGTATATGCAGTGATTGAGTCATTTGTTTGGAATTCGTGAATTCGGATGATTTAGAAAGTAGTGGATCGAAATCTTCAGTACTTGTTGTCGAATCTAATCTAATTAAATCTGGCACTTCAGGAGAAATCTATAAATAAGAAAAATTGTATGTTAAAAATAAATATTAAATATTTTTAAAAAGAAATTTCAAAATAGATTTTTAAAAAAGAATTTTAAAAAAGAAAAATATTAAATCAAGAAAGAATAAATGAATAATATATGTTAAAATGATTGTGATGATCGTGAAAAAGCAAATATAGATACATAAAATAAATAATGAATGATGATGTTTACCTTTGAATATGTAGAACAAGATGTATTATTGTATGCATGGGATGGAACGTGACAATTAACAGATAACGATGCATTTGTAGTTTGAAAGACCGGTTGCAAATAGGAAGGCATAAACACTTTACTGGTATCAAAAGGATCATTTTCTTTTAAATAGAAGTCAGAATTATAATTTGGAAAAATATTATCAGTATAAAATGTAGAGTTTTTAGTTGATCTTTCAAAATTATTTTTACATTGATTCATATTTATTTTTCGGGAATATAACGAAGCATCATATTTTGTAAATTCAGTTTTAAGAATTTCAGATGAAAAGTTATTTGATTGAATATTATCAATACATTTTTGTGAAACAGATAAAAGCGATGATTCTTCGCTTTCTTCTTTTGATTTATTTGGTTTTGAGACCAAAGTATTGAATGAAAACATTTTATTATTCTCATTAATTTGAGAGCTTGATATATCATTGATATTTAGCAAAGAATTTGATTGATCAACTGAAGTAATGAAAACAGTGGAATATGAACTACAGGGTGTAGTTTTTATGGAAGAAGTAACAGTTGGATTTGTAATAATTGTACTAGGTGGAGGGCCGTGCCGTATATGCCCACTCCATGCAGGTCTCAAGCTGTCTAAACTGCGTACTGGTTTCAACTGAAAGTGACGCACGAAACATTCTTTGTTGAATAAAAAAGTGCTTAATACAATTCTTTATAAATATATATACTATTTGAAATTAACATTACATTCTTTATTTTGCATGCATATTTAAATAATATTTCAACATTATTATTTTTAAATTATGACAAGTAATTTTTGTATTTATGTAACATTTTAATGTGATACATATATAATATCTATATTATATTATTTTATATTTTAAATATGTGTTAAAATATCTAGAGATAATACATGCATGATATATTTCAATATACATTTATCCAAAATCATTATCATGCTATTAATGCAGAGTATATATAGACATACACATTAATACACAATAAGCGACACTTTGTAATACATTCAAATTATACAAACAAATATTTTTTTTAAGTAAATATTTTTTGCTGATACTAGATTATCATTGACATAAAATATCTTTTTATTAAAATTTATATAAGCTTTTTAAAATAAAGTTATATGCATATAGCAAATAAAAATAAAAAATATACTTACTGTTCTATCAACGGGAGGTGTGTTCGGAAATATTACGTGACGGAGTTCTTGCATCAAATCAATATTTACTCTTTCTGGTGGAAAATCAGATTCTTCTGGTGAACTAGGACTTAATGGTGAATATTGTTTTCTGCTACAATTTTAAAATTATATTAATATAAATTAGATTTTATAATAAATAATAAAAAATAATTTTACAAAAAAAAAAAAATTGATATGAAAACAAACCTCGAATCGGTAAAATTACTATTACGTATTCGAAGATCTTTTCTATAACTAGTAGTAGCAGTAAAACCATTTGGAGATTTTGGCGGTGATGAAAAATCAATAGGTCTTCGATCCGATGTAGGTGAACTAGGCGCTGATCTTGGTTGATGGAATCTCAGACTTGTATCGCTTCTATTTGATCGTCCTAAAAATAGGAAAGAATTTTACTAAATTTCTATTTAATATATTTTTTAAAAGTTTATAAAAGTTTGCTATACCTTTCCATTTTAATCCTTTATATACCGTTTTCATATCTTTTCCTTTATCTTTTACCTGCAAATATAATTTTTATATAATTTATAATAAAAATTATAAATTAAAGATGAAAAATTTAGATTTTTAAAAGAAATAATTATATAATTTTAATAATAAAATTAATTTAATAAATAAATAATATTAATATTATTATTATTATTCTTATTCCACTGCTTTTGTTAATACATTTTATTAACATTTTATTAACTATTTTCATGTATGTGCACACAAACATAAGATATACACACATATATATATATATAAGAAAAAACAGAAATTTGTGATTAGTATAATTAATAACACATAATTAGAAAAATTAATTTAATTTATACACCAAACTTACTGATTTAACTGCATATTTGACAGCAGGATTGGCCTAGAATCGAAAGCAATCAAAAACACAAAAAATAATTTGATTTTACATGTTTTAATTTGATAAACAACTTCCGAAATATTTAAAATGAAAAATTCATCAAATTAATGTTATGTACCTTGTCTTTTACACTGCGGAAAAATGCAGAGCTTTCTTTTCGCATAGTGTAAGTCCATTCTCGATATTGCTGCATAAATTTGCTACTAGATTTAGCAGAATAACTGCAAGCTTCCATTTCAAATTCATCAGAAAAACCAAGTCCTGAATTAAGCATATTCAGTCTTTCTTCTATAAACTGAAATTATTATTATTATTATTATAAATTTATATATTTTAATCAAAATATTTTTAATAATTCAAAGAAAGATCATTTTTACTTGTTGAAATATTTGTAATTCCAACATTTTTCGCAAAAAAGGTTGCATCGACGATGGTCTACTTTCTACAAATGCATTCTGATTAAAAGTAATGCTTTGTCCTTGTTCTAATGTTAATGCATCTCTATAGCCAGCTGTTAATTGCACTAACGCTCGTAAAAATGCTCTTGATACACCATCTCCGAGTAAGGCGGATCTATTACGTAATGCCTTTTTCAAGTTTGTCACCTGGGACGAAAAAACTTTTTATTTTATTATTTAAGATATATTTTGATTCTTAAGAATAACATTGTTATTCCACAAATGAAATCATAGTTTAATACGAACTACATCCTGAGGTAAAGATTCCAAATCTTGAAACGGAGAGTCTATAATATTAACATCCGCATCTAATATAACTACTTCTCCTAAATCACTTTTATGTACTCTCTACAAAATATAATACAGAACATTAAAAAATTAAGAAAAATAGAAATAATTGTTTTTATAAATTATTTAATTTCTTTTATTATTATTCAAATACCTGAAGTGTTGGAGTAGGTACTCCAATTAAAAACGGCATCGGTGCCAATAAATAATCAATTAGAGATAATGGTAAAACTGGGATATATATATGTTGCCAAATCATAGGATAAATTAAAGCATTGCATGCTTGAACACAAGCACTTAATCTTGAAAGGCGTTTTGAAGTGAAAATAATTCGACGTTCGTACAACATAGAAGCAAATATAATCATCATATTGTGAGCATCAACTGCACTATAATATTCGGTTAAATTTCTCTAAAATCATGAAATTTTTATATATGCAGTTTTCATATTCAAATTATTTTTCCAAATTAATTTTTTACAACTTACATTTTCAGGTATACTTGGTAATTGAAATTGTTTTGGACTTTGGCAAACAAAATTCTGTAAAATATTAATTTAATAATAATTAACTTAATAATTAACTTAAATAATAAAAATGAAAAAG